GAACTAAGAGACGTGCACGTTGGATCGTGGTGGCAGTTTTGTTAACTGCTCCTGGAAGGTTATATGGAAGGAGACCTATAAATAGGACGAGACATGAAGAAGAAGGGGAAATTGGCAGGGACAACAGAAGCGCAAGTGAAAAAGTCTACAGGAGAACGACGCATCATGAAATTTCTAATGCTCTGGATTTCCATTTTCATTGATTATCTTTATCACTTTCTCTACTTTCCCTGGTAATTTATGTTTATGTAATTTACTTTGATGCAGTTTACATTTAGCAACTTTAAGTTTCGGCACTTTTGATTCCTTGTCATTTATTTTTATGCAAGTTAAGGTTATACGTTTAAGATCCTTGTCATTTACATTTTTGCAATTTCGATTTCCTGTTAGTTATATTTCTGCAATTTCGATTTCTTGCCATTTACATTCAATGCAAATTTGAGGTTTCCGTATTTTTACATTTCTCTGCAATTTAATATTCCGCACTACTTTTCGATTCAATGCTTTCTTTACTTCGCATTTCTTAGTAGAAAACACTAAAAATAGTACTTTCGATTTATATAGTAAGTCGTGTTGTTTACATTTTGAAACCATAGGATTTTCAATTCTCATGCATTTTTTTATTGAAAACCGTTTGCTAGCCTAAACAAAAAGAAGCTACGTGGTTAAAATTTGATTAGAACATAAGTATTTGAGAATATCGAAATCGATCAAATTTTTACCAAAAACAAATTTATAAAGCTTAAAAGATATATAACTACTCACTAAGAACATGATTTTTAGAATAAGTCATATGTTCGATCGATAAAATACCTTAAACTTTTTAACTAACTCCCTAAAACTAGGACAATAACAATAAACAATAACAAAATAAAATAAACTAAATTTATGCTTGTTTTAATCCTGAAACACTTTCCTAACACTCTCCTTGCTTTACAAACTGCAACCACCAATTTCTTGTCTTAGAAACTCGAATTTATTGACTGAAAATGACATTATGAATATATCTGCTAGTTGATTTTCATACTTGCAATAAATCAAGGTCATAGATTCTTCTTTTTACACTTCTCTTAGGAAAAACAAGTTAATGTTAAAATGCTTAGTCTTAACTATGTAAAACAAAAGAATATGGGAAATAGTAATAGTAATTTTTTTGTCAACCAAAATCTTAGTGCTTTCTTTCTACTTAAGATTTAGATCCATTGAAATCTTCCTTAGCCACAAAGCATGATTTACAAAAGTTGTTATAATGATAAACTATGCTTCGGCAATGAATTGAGCTACAGTTTCTTATTTCTCTGAGCTCCATAAAAAAAAATAATAGATATAAGAATAAAGTACTTTTTATATAATTAATGGAATCTTCTTAGTCATTATCACAGAAACCAACTAACTTGAATTATTAATGCATAAATTTAGATAAAATGCTTACAATATTTAAATATGTTGAGTACATCAAACAACCAATCAAACTTTTAAAATATTCTTAACTAATTTTATCAACACCATCTTCCTTATACAATTTCTCCTTTTGATTCATGGGAGTGTTTATTTTCTTGCATTTAAACTTCTTCAAGATCTTCTTGCCATATTTCTTTTGACATATAAAAACTTTATAATTAGCTGTTTGATTTCTATTTCAAGAAAAAAAGTTCATTAACTTAAGAATTGTTTTCTAAAAAGCATTCATCATTTTTTGTTTGAATTCCTGAACCAACCATGCATTATTTCATATCACCGAAAGATAATCAACATACAGTGAAACCATCAAAATATCATTGTTTTGTATTTGAAATAAAAATTGGTTTCAAACAAGCTTTTTTTTTTTTAAATTGATGCTTAACAAATGGTCATCTACTCTATCATATACCAAGCTCATGAATCTTGTTTCAAGAAGATAAACCTTATCCTTTTCTTCATTTTGCATATCCTTTTACACAAAACCTGTAGGTTATTCAATATAAATTGCTTCATGAAATTTATTTATTCTTTTATTCATAATTTTCTTTGTTAATATCATCTTTGGCTAATTATTGTTTTATTGGATTCTTTATTTATAGAACTTCAATTTATATATATATATATAACATTTAATTTGAAGTTCAAAGTTATTTATTTTAAGAGTTAAAAAAAAAAACAAGTCAAATTTATGGGAAATTTAACTTGAGCTAAATTTTTTCACTTGAACAAAAATCCTTTAGAGAACTATCTTCTTCTTTGAAAATTTTCACTTGAAGTAAAATTTTCTCACTTGAATAAAAATCCTTTCTATTGAGTGAAAATTCTTTTGCTTGACCAAAAATATACTAGAAATAAGTTTCATTTCACTATGAATTTTTTTTCTTGAGCGAAATATTTCTACTTGACAAAAATACTTTTGAGAGAAGTCCTTATTCTGTTGCACATTTTGCATCAGCGACAAGTTGTCACTTGAGCAAAAATATACATATATTAGACATGCAAAATAGACATTAAACCAATTTCCAAACATAAAACACAACCTTTTGAGATTTTATCACACAATTTCTATCTAAATCATGTCATACCTATTCCGAATATAATGATCATATCCTAATATTTCACATATCATTACTCTAAATAATTTATTCAATCACAATTTAAGATATAATACCAATCAAATTTACAATAAAATCTCTGCAAATAAGATAATATGACAGAGTCATCATCAAAGTCTAAATTATTCATCATAGAATGTTAAGGAATTTACCACTAGTTTTCATTATCTTTCAAGCAAGTCTCAAATTTCTACTTTTTTAGGTAGTTAGATCATACTAACAAGAAATCTCAAATTAACAAATTGAATCTACCAATATATTTTTAAATTAGTTAAGACTCATCTTTACCTCACCAAATATCACAGGCAAGAGTTATGATCCTACATGCAACCTTAATCTTAATTTGTATAAATACTCTAAAATTGGACAAATTTAAATTTAAATTCAGCGCGATAACAGGGTGGGGTGCTTGGTGCTTCAGTTTTTTTAATCTTCGGTCAAGCTGGAACTTGTCTTGAATCCTCGAAACTATTAGGTTGGTGAATTTGACAAGTATATCAGTGAATTGAAAGCCTCCAACTTCAAATGGTATGGTAGATTGTCATGGAGTACGAAGTTTTGATAGATAAATAAGCTTACTCTAACTGAAATTTTAATTAAATAAAAATATTTCTCTCATTATTAAGAACATAATGGTATGTTTTAATTTAAAAAATGTAAGAATTGAACGAGAAATTTTTATAAAAAAAAGAAAATTTAGAATATTAAAAAATATTGATTCCTTAAAAATAAAATTTAAAATATAAAAATTTTCTATTTAAACGATACAAATTTTCTATTTAAACGAGTAAAAATTTTAGATTTTATTTTATATAACTACCAATTTTCTTTAAATTATTAAAATCTATATCCTTATATTATCTCTTTTATAAATAAAAATCATCAATTTCTATTTTCATATAGTTATTCTTTAAATTTTTTTTAAATAGTCACGATTAATTTTATTTATAATTTCGTTTATCTTTCAGAAAATTATATATATTTTTAGAATACTAAATATAAAGTAATAATTTATTCATTTTAAATATTAATAATTTATTATTATTTTTTTACAAGTCATTTTTTTATCATTATTACGAATATTGAAAATATGATAATTTTGAAATCGTCGTGAAAATATTTTTTAAAAATAAAAATAAAAATAATTATTAACAAAATTATTTAATAATTACGTATGAAGAATATATAAACTATTATTTGTATATTTTTAAATAATAATAATAATAATAATAATAATATTGTATATATAATAAAAAAAATATTTCTTTCATAAAATAATAATAATTGTAATAATATTTTTTTATCATTAAGTCTAGCTACAGTTCTAATATACTTGTATAAGTCTCTCATAAGTACTTTTTGTCCTAATTTTATTTTATAATTTTTTTTATAAATATATGAAAAACCTTATCCAAATAAAATATTTTTCTGTAATGATTTGACAATAAAATAGGACGGAATAGTGTTTAATACATTTGGGGGTAAATGAATATTAAATCTTAATATTATTATAGTATAGGGTCAAATCCAATGAAAAAAAGTATCAACATTCATGATTTGTTTGTTTTAAGATTTAATTTACTGAGTCGATTTACTGAATTAAAAAAAAAAAAAGTTGAAATCTGCAATGTAACCACAGATAATTAATATCATGTAATACTAATACTCATAATTAATACTTTTATTTCATTACGATAATATACAACAAAGGCAGTGGGGTCACAAGCCAACCAAACCACAGATAGCGCTCTAATTACCAACCACACATACACGCACAATTTTTCTCACTTTTTTTTTCACTCATAAATGCAAATCACAAGGAAAGCTAGGAAAAGAAGTCACAGGCAGCACGGCAGCACTACTAAAATCCCATTTTTCCTGCATCAGACAAGGAGAAAAAAAATATCAGAAGTTATGCCAGTAAACCTTAGTCATTGGCTAAAATAAATCATTTTATTTACAAGTCTTTCGTATATTTTTATTTTTATATGTCTTTTTCTCTCTCATATATATTATCTTTCTGTGCCTTTTTACTTCTTACATTCACTTCTCATATGTCTCAAGAGTGCAGTGTGCATCATTTTAATTATACATGCAGAGCAAAAATGGATCATAATGTTATCCAATATACCTAAACAGAAAAAACAAAATTTGACCAATGATCCCATAATTATAAAATCTTAACTCACCCCAAAAAATATTATAAAAAGTGATCATATGTAGGCCAAAAATGAGGACTCAAGACACAGGTGTCATAGTGCTAAAATATATAATTGCCTATGAAGAAAACAAGGTCATATATTTCCTAATTCATCATCATGTTCTAGACACCAGTCATGAAAATCATGGAGAATATTGATAGAGCTTAACATAAAAGAAAAGTTCAGCATACCTTAACACATATAGGTGATGCAGCAGTTATATCTAATCACTGTCACTGCTGCTGCTGCTGTCATGGCCATGCTCATGGCCTTCTTTCTTTTTCTTCTTCTCCTTCTTCTTCTTCTCGCCCTCAGCACCTTCTCCGTGGATCTTGTCCTTGATCTTCTCTATGAACCCTTCTTTGTGCTCTTCTCCATGGTGCTCTGGCTTGTGCTCCCCATACCCATGTTGCTCCCCTTTGTGTTCACCATGGTGCTCTCCTTTGTACTCACTATGTCCACCATGGTGCTCCCCTTTGTGCTCCTCCTCTTTCTTGTGCCCTCCCACATGAAGGGTCTCCCCAATCTTGTTAATGAATCCTGACATTGTCTCTCTTTCACTTAGCTTCGTGTTTTTTGTTTTTGGTTTTGGTATGTTCTTACCCCAGGAGAGCAACGGTATTTATAGGAAGAGAAGTGAGGTATAAAGCGAAGAAACCACTTCAAAATAATATGTTATACATCATTGAGCTGAAATTACTAGAATGACCATGAGCGTGTACTTTCCGTGTATTCATTTATTTATACCTACTTTGTTTCCAAATATAGAATCTGATGCATCATACAATTTTCTATTTCAAATTTTTGTGACAACTGTACTGTTATGTAATTTGAAGATAAATATTTTAATGGTAATTATTCCATTAAGTTAATGAAATTAATATTATTGACTTTCTAAGTTTATTAATATTTAAATTATCAAATTTTTAAAAAGATATTTGACCATAAAAAAATTGTATTTATCCACAATTTTGTGGAACACCGACGTCAATTTACAAGTAACAGAGATTTAACGTTTTTGATAAAATTTAGAAATTCAAATAAAAGCGAATGAGGTGTTTTAACATAATTTTTTTTTTCTTTTGTGAACGAAATAATCAGAGGTATCAAATTAAAGTATGAATGATAGAAGACAATGACCTAGGAAAAAGCTTTAGGGCTAAAAGCGAACAGGTGTCGAGTGGTTAGGGTTCAGAAAATTGAGTTGTTAAAATTTGTGCATTTGTAACATAACCGTTGCTTTTCTGGTGTACTACGGAACATATTGAAAGAGGCAGACTATATGCTTACAAATTGCAAAGACAAAGAACAAATCTAAAGTTGGGATGTTGCAATCTATTACGCTAATCATGACAATGTCTGTCCAAAGTTTTTGTTAGGTCAATTTAATCAGATAAGCCAAGCATTACTGTCAAGTTAATTCACCCTGCATTCTAGATTCTTCTTTGAGAACCATTTCTATTTTCTTTTTCTTTTTCTTTTTTCATTTCAAAAATAAAAAGCAAGGGAAAAATAGGATTCTATGAAAAAGAGGTAAGTAATGGAAGGTATGTATTAGGACATAATTTAGTCCAAATCCATAACATGATTTCTCTTTGTGTTTTAGTCCTCTAGTTTTAAAATAATAATAAATTACAATCTTAATAGTTCTAGTCTCCTAATTTAAAAAAGTGTAATGTTAATCTAATTATGGATTATACACACATTTATCTTTTTATTTCAATTAATAAATGATTTTATATTACTTTAAGTTTACATATGAATTGGACCAAAATAAAAATAAATAAAGCATCTACAAAATTAAAGATTTAATTAACATTAATATTTTTATAAATATGAGTAAATCATAAAAAAAAGTATTACCATAGAGGATAAAAGAGTAAAAACAATAATCGTAAATATTATATTATCTTAAAATAATACTTTAAAGCAGGGTGCATGAAATAGGGTAGCGTGGAATAAGGGGGATGGTGACCCACCGACCATTATGGGCCATAAATGAAAAATCTAAAAGAGGATAAGAAGGGCCCATTAAAGGCTCCAGATAGGGCCCACTTTACGAATTTGAAAAAGAGAGAGTAGGAAAAAACGTTATTCGACAACCCTTTTGCTTTTTCTGACCGACTTAATTTTAAAATACAACCGTTTTATTTTACAATAATTTCAAATACAATCGTTGAATTAAATGGAAATGAAAGAAGTAACTACCGCTCCTTTATTAAAAAAATCATTTTTATTTAAAAATTATATAATAACATTTTTGATACCGTTTTTTTTATTTTTTATAAATGCTCTAAAAAATTAACTAAGAAATACAAGTACTCATCTTTAAAATATTGACAAGTTTGTTTGTTTCTTTGATTGACGCGTGGATGGTTATAAAGTTGCCGACATGAGTAGAACGAGGAACCGCCACTGACAGGGTGGTTCAGTTTTTGAGAAATAAATAATAATGAAGTTTTAAAATTGGAGAAAGTAAATCGTAGCATACTGTCAACACGGTATAAGATATTTTATTTTAGTGAGCTAAAGTTATTTAATTATTATTGGTAACATGAGCAAGCTATTATAATGAAGTTAGATTTCATCAAATTTAGTATTTAATTTGAATTTGATTAAAATATTGTGCATTGGATAGGATTTATTTATGGTATCTATATTCGGATCGATTAGGGATGGCGGTTAGATCCTGTCGTTTTAAACCGTTGCTTTTATCATGGTATGGGTGGGATGGGATGGACTGGTATTCTATCCTCAGTAAAATTATAGATCTTAGTTCATTTTATCAAACAATGGTTCGATGGATTAGTAGATTAATCTATTAATAATTTTTTTATACAAAAAATTTATATATATTTTTTAAAATATGTATTTAATTTATACAAATAAATTTTAAATTTGTATTTATAGATTAAAATAATTAATAATTTAAATTTAATTAATTTAATGTTTATAATTTAAATTATAATATTATAATATATATATATATATATATATATATTAATATCATAACGTAAACTATATAATATTTTTAATTATAATTATTTTTATTTTAATATATAAATAATGTTTTAAAGTGATTAATTGGTTAACCTATTTCATTTTGTCTTTACTCGGTTAAGTTGATAGATTAAGTAAAATAAACTAAAATTGATTGATAAACTAAAATTACTAATGTGCCCACCATTTTTTAAGATCGACAAATTTAGTTTGTTTTATCATCCTAACATCTATTCATTCAAATTAATTGGGAGTAAGATTTAACAAAATGAATATTTAATTAATAAAAAAACTTTATAAGTCTAATATTATTTTCTGACGAAGAGATTTAACAGGAGAATAACATCAATCTTTTGTATCAATCTGTCCTACAATCGATAAACTTTCAACTCTGATACGATTTTTTGGGTACGAGAGGAGGAAGAAATTAATATCATTCTTAACAAAAAAAAACTTAAAATATTAGGTTATGGGTCATTATTCCTTATGTGTTACTAATTTTTTCATTCTTATTATGTGAATCTTAACTCTTAGATTACCCAACAAATATATATATATATATATATATATATATATATATATAATATTTTTTTAAAATTTTTATATAACTTTTGAATATTTATATGGTACGTATATTTTACTTAAGTACCTTAGCGCGTGCAAATAAAGGAAATTAAATTCTAAATTAAAAAATACATAAATAATAGAAACAATCTCATAAATAACATATTTAAAAAAAATTATTTAAATAGAATCTTTACAAGTTTATTTACTAAATAGACTTGTTTACTATTTACAAAATTCAATAATAAAAAATAAATTTCTCTTGTTTAATACAGTTATTTTCTTCACTTATTTTTTATTTTTTATTTTTTCTTTATTCATTTACTTTATGTTATTCTTTTTATTATCATGTTCTTTTTTCTTTTTTCCTCTTTTATTCTTCTCTCACTCATTTTATTCTTTTAATTTAAAATATTAAATTAACAATATCAAATTGATGTTTTATTATTTCTAAAATATAAAAATATTTAAATTATAAAAAAAACTACAATTTAATATATTATATTTTTAAAAATTATTATATTATAAATTTGAGATATTACTAATTATTATGTTATAATTATTAAGAAAAAACTAAATACTCATTTTAAAATAAATTTTTAATAAATATTTTTTAAAATTACCTAATATGATTAATCATCATACCTAAATAATTTAAAATTAATTATATAAATCATCATAAATAAAATTATTTACTATCATCTAATTTTAAATAATTAGTTAATCTATTTTTTAGTTTTAATATTAATTTTAGAACTTTTACATTAACACAATTTTTTTAATTTCAACCTAGTAGTTTTAATTGAAAAAGTAAATAGGAAAGGAGAGAAAAAAAAACAAGAGAGACACGAGAGTAAAATGATGAGAGACAAAGAATAAAAGAATTAACTACACGTAATTAGGTAAATAAATTGATAAAATATATTATTTATAAAATTGATTCTAAATAATAACCTGTAAGAGTTTTTTTTATCATGTATTGAAATTTACTTTGTAAATTATAAACTAACTTTTTTATTATGTTTGTTTCTTAAATTTAATACTCTAGAACTATTTGTATAGAAAAACGAGTTATTTTAAATAAAAATTGTTTTTTTATACCCAAAGTAAAAATTGTAGAAAATTAATTATTAAAATATTTTTGAAAGGAAGATTTTACAAAAACGTTTAAAAATAAAAATATGATTTTAATATAGATTTTATGTATAAAATTGTTTAACATTGACATTATATATACAATTTTATTAATTTCAAGTACATCTATATGAGGATCACATAATATAATGTTATTTATTCATAAGTAACGTTCTTTAAAAATATTCTAAAGATAATTTCATTGGAAAATTACTTTAATTATTTTCTATACGGGAATAGGTAAAATATACTTATATAATATGTTATCACACTTAATTTTTCTCTAATATATTAATTTTTTAAGAAATTTTAGTTAACTTATTTTATTTTGTTTATTTATTTTTATAAATTAATTGATGAAAAACTTAAAATATTTTTGAAGAAAATTATTTCAATAATTATTATAAATAAAAATATTATTTTAATGTGAATTTTAAGTGGGTGATTTAAAATTAAAAAATATTTATAATTTGATAATATTATTTATATAAATCATTTTCTTCAAATTTAAAATTATAATATTTATATATAATAATATTTTATAAATACTCTTAACGAAGTTTATTGCATTATTAAATAAAAATAATGATAAAGAGATAAATACAATTGCAATATTTATAAAAAAATATTGTTTTTCTTCTATCCATTAATAACAAAAAAATTCACCTTACAATGATTTAGATTGGTTAGGAAGTTAAAAAAAAAATTAAGAGTCTAGACAAATAAATATGTTAAGAAATATGTAGATAATATATATATATATATATATATATATATATATATATATATATATATAATTGTTTTCATTTTTTTATTTTATAAAATATAAATAATAAGAGTATTATTATT